CTCTCGTCCTAAACCTAGCACTGTAGATTTTTGACTGATTCTGGGGTCCGTATCTGAGTTCCAGAGCCTCTACACGGTGCTCTATAGTTGTGTCTGTCTGCTGCTGTCAACTGTCCAAGTATTTCCAGTGATTGTCCCTTCAAACTCGTTGCCAGATATACAGCTTTCTGCTCCTCTGTCCATCCATTCATCTCTGCCAGTAGCTCAAATTGTGCTCTATATGCTTCCCACGGTGCCTTCCCATCGAATTCCTGTGGCTTCCTTCGCACTGGATCACTCCTATTACTGACATTCATATCTGGGATGTGACTTCTAACGGGACTGAATATGTCTGCATTAGGGTTTAGCTGCGGGCTCTGTAAGGGGCTTGCCATTGTCTGGGGCTGATTAAATCGATGGTCAATGTATCCTCCTTGTGTAAAAGACAATAAATCGTCCTTTAACGTATCTAATTCGCTTTTAAATTTACTAATGTTTTCCATTTGTACTTCTTGTTTCCTTTCTTGTTCCAGTTGCCACTGCTGTAGTCTCTCTTCTTGTTTCTTTTCTCGTTCTTCTTTTTTTATTTTCTTTCTCCTCTAACAACTGCTGTAATTTCGAGATTACAGCAGTTGTTGGAGGAAAAAGAAAAGAAACAAGAAGAAGCAGTGGCAAGAAAACCTACAACAATGGCAGCTCGAACAGCAAAATAAACAAGACTAATCTTTCTTGTTTCTTTTCTCGTTCTTCTTGTTTCTTTTCCTTTTCCTCCAACCACTGCTGTAATTTCTCTTCTCGTTCTTCTTGTTTCTTTTCTTTTTCCTCTAACAACTGTTGTAATCTCTCTTCTTGTTTAATTTCTCGTTCTTGTTTCTTTTGTTTTCTTGCAACTGCTGTTGTCTCTCTTCTTGTTTCTTTTGCTGTTCTTGTATTGCTGCCATCAAATCTGCTAAACTATAGTTTGATTTGCCGCTTCTCGTTTCCATCTTCTCTTTTTCTTCTTTTTTTTTATCCCACTTTCTGACACCAATTTGTTACGTCTCCGTTTGTTAATTGATTTTCCGTTGAAAATAAGTGTATCGGTAAAGTTATATTCAGAAAGAATAACCAGTTTTATTAAGAAAGGACTTGTGTCGCTAAAGTTTCGTGGGAACGAAGTTACGGAAAATCAACTAACGAACGGAGACGTAACAGCATTTTGATTCAACTTGTTTCGTTACTTTTTTGATGATCCCTATTCCCCTTTTTAAATTAACAATTTTTGATTATCTTGTTTATAATACTACAAGTATTTACAATAAAGAATAACCAACGATAAAAAGGTTTAGTATTCTTTAAATCCAAACTATTAAAACATTTTAGAAGAAAGCATGAATGATAAACTGACATAACTGTGAAAGTGTTTCTGGAGTAATGATCACTATAGAAAGTAACTTGTCAACTATAATTTAAAAAATGAGTGTGTTAGTGGAATAATTACTTTTTGGAGTAGTGATTAACTAACTTATATGAGTTTATAGGTTATCAAATATTATTATGCCACAAAAAAAAATATTTGTAAGTAAAGTATCTACTATGATAATCTATTCATATAAGAAATTTGGATAAACATGTAAGAAATGTTCTTTAAATATTCCATGTATATAAATTTTTAATTAATAACCCACCCTGGAATGTACTTAAACTAATGTTATGTTGAATGCAGTCAATCTAGTGAGACCCCAGATTCTCCCCAGGAGGAGACAACTCCATGGACATTGGCTGAGAACTGTCTACGTGAACTGATGGGTCGAGTTACTTTTGGTCATATCCGATCTGTGATACGCCCGGTTCTTAAGTATGTTAAATTGTGTTGATTAGTTGTAAACAAACACTGATTATGTAGGATTTTATAAAACTACTAGTTGAGTAAGTTAAGAAAGATTTATTACTATGTATGATTTGTGATTACAATTTACATTATTTCTTATGTTGAGAAATTATCATTGTTATCACATTAAACTAAAAGCATAAGGTGCAAAGAAAATGGTTTTTGACTGACCAACTTTTCAGTTGAACTGAACAGAACTTAAAAATATTGTGATTAATCATGTACATTATTTATTGGAATGATTGTAATGCTTCTTTTTTTTTCTCTCTCTCTCTCTCTCTTGAGTCTCATTTTTATGAATTATCTATTTCCTTGAAGTATAAGAAAATATAGCAACAATAAAGTAAAATTCAAACTTTCATGTAAGGTTTGCTCCACCAGGCACTTAAAATCTGTTCTTTCTTGCTAACAGACATCTGGATAATCATGAGCTGTGGGTTAAATCAGGTGCAAGCCATGTGTTTAAAGTCATCATGTATTCTATTCAGGTGAGTTTTAAAGTATTGTCCCCCCCAAAAAAAAACCCGGAGGAAATCACCTTTCAGGAGAAAGGAGCAACCAAAAACTCATCTTTCACCAAGGAAAGTAAATATCCAAATTAATTTAACTTTGATAGTTGAATGATATTACATGTGACTTTATCTTTTACTTTCTTCTGCATATACAAAAAAAAGGGAGCTCTGTAATTATGTTTATTCCCCCCCACACATAAAAATATATCTGATTCTTTGACTAAAATATGTGTCTATGTCTTGAGTTTGCATATTGATGAGTATAGCAAATATCATTACAATAAGATAATGTTTACTATAATGGACATAGCGTGTATATCAGTATCTATGTATGTAACTAAAATTCCTGTGTCATCTATTGAATGGCACCACAAACAAAAATCCATAAAAAATTTCACACTTTGGGTATTCAAGATTCAGACAATTAGAAAAATAACTGTGGTATGTGCAACAACCATTTATTTACAATAGAACACAATGTAAAATTAAAGTACTCTCCTCACAACAAGAACATGACTTTCTCTAGGTCTATACGTGAGGGTTTGATGATATCTTAATTGGTGTGATTTTTAGTTGTAATAATGAGAAACTGGAGTTCTTAAAAAACTATTTTTTTCAATAAATGGCAAATAAATAAACTTATATAAAAAATAAACATTACAGTTTAATACTTTGCTAGTTATTACTAGCACAATGGTGTTTTTGCTAGTAATTCTTAATCAGTGTTTACATTCGAAATGGTGTATTAAACTGTTTTACACTCACAAAAAGAAATCTATCATTCTATAGGTATATGAAGAACTTGTAGAATTTTGCCACAAGTTAATTCTTCACATTGTTAGTCGACACTGGGCAGCTGGTACATAATTGAATAGAGTTGTTTAAGCATTTCTTTAACAACAAGTAAAAGCTTGGAATGGTCTATTCTTTCATTGGGGGGTGTGTCTTGAGCCAGACTAGTTTTGGAGAATTCCACTTCTCATCAGGGACCCTGGACACTACCACCATTTAAATAACAGACCAAACCACACCTTTATAGTAGTGAGGTATCGAAAATCGAAATGGTATACTTAAGTGTTTTACACTCACAAAAAAGAAACCTATCATTCTATAGGTACTTGAAGAACTTGTAGCATTTTGCGCACAGTTTAATTATTCATATTGTTAGACTACACTGAGCAGCTGGTACATGATTTTAGTGTCCAGGGTCACTGATGAGGAGTGGAATTCTCAGAAACTAGTCTGGCTCAAGACACACCCCCAATGAAAGAATAGACCATTCCAAGCTTTTACTTGTTGTTAAAGAAATGTTCAAACAACTCTATTCAATTTTTTTCCCAACCCACGGAGGGTGTACCTCAGAAGCATGAAACCCTTGGTGTTTCTTCATCCTGGGCTGACTGCTTGGACTCGGATAGCTCTTCAGCTACTAGGGATGTCCCGTGACTATCATATGCTGCCATTGCCTCATTGTCGTCCTCTGGTTCAACTACCTCTACTGTCTCCTGCTGGTTCTACTTCGGCTACCATTCCTGCCTCCACTCGATCCGCCTATTATGGTGAAGTGCTCAGACCTATGGAAACTACTGAAACTCCTCAGATTACTGTGCTCCTACTTTCGGGCATGGATCCCCCATATTTCTCTACCAGGACCCTCTTTCTCGAACTTTCTAAATACTGCTTTCGTTCTGATGTTCATCAACTAATTCCAATGAGAAATGGCATAATTGTGAAAACTGGTAACTGTCAATTGTGTGATGTTCTGCATAACAAAATGGGCCTGCTTAATCTGGGTCAATCTACCATGCTCACTCAACTTCGCTCCCCTGCTCTAAAACAACAACCTCCTCCTCGTTGTACACCTCTTTTCTCTTGTGTCATCCATGGTGTGGGTCCCGACATCACTGAAAAAGAGATCCTCTCCGAACTTCTACTTGAAAACATATCAGTCAAGCATGCCATTTGCATTCAAAATTCCTCTGATCCATCTCCTGTCTAATGGAGCATTTCTTTTCCATCAGGTTGAGGCCCTCCAGGCTCTGCACTGCGAGAGGTGCCTATTATACAACTCGCATACCACTGCTAAATGCCGTAACCAATCAGTTTGTTCTCATTGTTGCAGACCTCATCTCCTTCACCAGTGCTTTCGCTTAAGCTCTCCTCCCCTCTGCAACACTTGCCATCTTGATCATCCTACATACTCCTCTAAGTGTCAGGGTAAACCTCCCCCCAAGACTGATGATCCAGCTTCTGTTGCTCCAATGCATACCACCGATGCCATTTCACCTCTGCTGTTTCCTACCATGGAGGATATCATCCATTTTGTCACATTAATACTACAGAATGCCCTCCCTTTCCAACGTACATTCGCTCTAGATCATATTATCCATGCTTCTAAGTCTGTCTTTCGCCTTCACATGCAGACCACTTATTCTGGACTTAACTCTCACTTTCTATTTCATTGTCTATGGGATCTAGAGACTAAAAGTTGAAGTATTTATTTGTCAATATTCACTCTCTTTATCAAAACCTCCTCCTTCTGGAGATCTTGTTAGATAGTGGCTCCTATTATTGTGTTCTCCTTAATGAAACTTTTCTGAAACCCACTCACAGGATCCATCTACCAGGGTACACTCTTCATCGCCATGATCATCCTATGGGTCCGGCCGAAGGAGGTGTGGCAATTGCTACTCGTACTCGCCATCCCGTGCACCTACATTTCCTTCTGCAGTCCACTTACCCTGAACATTGGGTAGCCACTGTTTACTCCTCATCTTATATCATCACTATTGCAACTATCTACATTCGTCCCGGAGTTCCCTTGCCCAATGCTTTTCTCTCCTTTCTGCACCACTCTTTTCGCACCTATATTATTCTTGCTGATGTCAATTACAACAGTAGGACCTCTGCCGAACTTGCCCATTTTCAGTCCTCCTTATGTTCCCTTTCTGGTTCGTTGCTACCCCTGCCTGCCCTAGTCGTCCAGTTTCTCATTCGTCACCTGATATTGTCTTTGCATCTTCCAACCTGGTTTCTTTTATCACTCTCCAGATGTGTCCTCTCGTTGGTAGTGATTATTTCCCCATAGAACTTTGTGTCCATTCACAGTCCTTGTCTGTTCCTTGTGCTTCCATTGGATTCATCTAAATTTTTGTTCTGCCGACTGGAAATCTTATGCATCACACATTACTAATGCCATACCAGATATGGATCGATCTCTTACTACAGCAGCTGATGTTGACTCATTCACCACCTTACTCACCACTCTTCTCTCTGATGCCAGTGCTTTATACATACCGACTTCTTCTTCAGCTCCCCATAAACCAGCCTTACCTCGTGGAGCTGTAGATCTGTTACATCTCTCTTCCACTTTATTGTGTGAATACTGTCAGTCTCATGATCCTTTGTTGCTGCAACAATCCAGGGGTCTTCAACATACTGCCCGTAATTTTGTTCG